TATCTGAAGTTCCTTGCTCCAGTGTGCTGAAAAGCTATTCTAAAACTGCTGATTTACTATTTTTAGCGATCAGTAAGATATGATGAATTCGGCACTTCCTTATCTATTTACCACTTGGTAGTAAACAGCTGAGAAGGGATGAAGTTTATTAATGAGTGTTTATTTTCGTCAGTTCAATGTTATCGACCTTCATCATAATCAGAATGAACATTGAACAGTGTAGTAGAGTATGATTGAAAAGTCAATTGGAATTTGGGGGTTTGTGGGGATTTAGAGATATTTTAAGTTGGCTTCCATCACTGAATGAGATTAGTTGGAGGAAAATTGGAAACCTGGGAGCACTGGACAGTTGTTTTGTCCTAGTACGGGACTCTTTGGCAGTGCGCACCCACTATCCTGCCAGGGATCTGACCCGTGATATTCAGGTTTCGTGGCCAGCACGAAGTGGCTGTCCAGTACTCAAATTTCAAATGTTCCTCCAATTTATGTCAGTCCATGATGAAAACCAACCTAAATTCAGTTAGCTTATGTGATAGTTCAGTGGTTACATGTCTGACTCCATTACGCGGGAGACATCAGTTTTCTGACTGTTGCAGTTACATCATCCTAGTGAGTTCCAACAAAAACGAAAACCTAGGCGGTTCTTGCTGATCGACTCCCACCATCTCACAAAGTGATACAGTTTTCTTTAATGGATGACATTTTGACCACAATTTATTTCTCACAACCAAATCAAGATAATAGGATCGATATGTACAGTAAACTGTGCTTAAAGATCATCTGATAAATAGTACTGTTTTATTATTATTATTATTTTATTACGTCGAATAAACTAATTTAATATGGAACTATATGAGTTTGCATGTTGAATACTTTACACACAGAAAAAGCACTACTTTACAAATGACATTTCAAACGCAAGAGATTGTTCATAATCATATCAAATGTACCTATGCAACTTCCACACTCTTTTATAGTTCTGTTTATTTTACTTCCTTTGTGATATGAATTTCGGAGTTGTATAATCTAAATAACTCAACTCTTATGAATTAGAGAACACAATAGACGACTTTCATTAAGAAGATGAAGAACTGATTGGTTTGGATTCAGCTGGTTTCACATAAGTGGACCTTTCATTGTGTTTTGAAGCTAAATTCTGAACAAGAATTCACCTTTAGATCAAAGGTATCATTTGAAGAGATCATAATTCAAAGGGAAAGTTTGATGAATAAAGCTTTATTCATCATACACACATACAACTTGCTGACTTCATTTCATCTCAAGAGTAACCTTCAAGAGTGATTTTTCTATTTACTTTAAAGGTCACCCAAGAAACTGCTAAAATAGCCAATCAAACCTTGGTAATACGGCTGTTAAGGTAGCTTTTTATGATACAAAGAACCGTGATTCCTTATCTCAGGTGTTGTTAGGGTGGCATTTCAAGTTTCAGAAGCCAAAGGGAAATACCATCAAATCGTATGGCCGGCTTATTTCACTTATCCCAGCTTTTACAATGACTTCTTTTCCAGATAGATCAATCCTAATGTTGAGATTTCACACCACTATCCCTTCATTATCATTTCACATTGCACTAGATCGTCTGCTTTATTCATATTGTTGCTATTAATTCAGTGAAACTGCATATATTTTGATAGAATTAGCTTGGAAGAACAATATCTTTAGGTGGTTAACAGTGAAAATTTTTGTAACAGGCTATTGCAATGAGCTGCGGACAGACAGACAAATTATGTCAGCAACTATCCTATCTGGCTTCTAAAGGATAAGAAAATCTCAAATGAACTAAGCACACTAAAGTGAGAAATAGCAAAATATGTCCTAATTTGAAGAGGAGCTTCGAAAATTTACCATTAGAACTCGATTTACTGTATTGATTACTTAAATTATAAAAAAATACGATGTCAATTAACATAAAACATGTTACCCTGCTTTCACACTACTTAACAGTAGACGATAGTCAATGACAAAAATTTCACTTCTGTAATAGCACTAAACTAGGCTTTAAACGTTCCAAACTTAAGTAAACAGACGTTAGTGAGTTATTAAGTCATGCACTACAGCTTTTTTCCAATGTTATGAAATTTCACAAGGCTGTAAAGATGTTTCTTGAGCATGTTTTGTTGCATTTAGTGTATTAAAAACTTAAAGTGACCCCTTTTTTCAACTACTATGTACTATATACTACTATATACTACTATATACTAATTTTTGAAATTTCTGATAAATGGAGTTCAATGAATGAAAGTTGATTGACTTTATGCCTCAACATAATGGGAGCTCAAAGTGTACATAATAAATGAAGCACCATTACAAAGTAACTGTTCTACCAAAGTGAATGCATGAAGTAATAAAGTTAAAGCAGGAAGATAACAGACTATCAGGGTAAAGCTCAGGCAATTCAGTCGAAAGTGATTTTACTTCAGTTCTTCCATTAGATATATTACACAGTAAGATAGTATTTTTAAACGCAATAATTTTTAGACAGTTTATTGTCCATAGTTATATGCAGGCTACTTCAAAATGGGGAAACATGGTCTATGTAGTTCTCATTCTCCCTCTTTTTTGTTATATCAGCAGTGGCGTTTTCTATGCATGTCCTAGTTCATGTATTTAGAGTTGGTTCGATAAACAAGGACTCGCTAATCAATCAGTGCACCCACCAAACTAAGTTAATTTTAGATTAGTTTTTGTGCTGGGAAAGCAGATATGAGATTAATAGACTCTAACGTCGCCTGGGTAACTAGTTCGCCAGTTACTAGCCGGTCCTGAGTCCGGATAAAGAGAAAAGGCTGGGTATGCGACCATTACAATCACTAAAAAAACTTCAAAGCACAAAGAAAATATGGAAAATAAAAATAGATTTACTCCTCACTGGAGTCGGGGAGATAAAATGACGCCGTTTGGTGAAAGCCTTCAAGAAGCCCATTGGCCGATGTGTCTTCTTTCCTGTCGACGAAAGCACACTGAGTTTCGGAGTGGCTATCATGATGTCTCCAACAGCATCAAAGGCTCTCTCTCATGCAGTGGGAACCAATCTCCTCCTGCAGGATCAGGATCATGACAGTGGGATTCAGATCATACAATGCTACTCTATGCACCTACAAATAATGCAGATCAAGAGAGGAAGGAGGAATTCTACGGACAAATGCAATCAGTACTAGACAACACTACACACCAGTTGGCGACATCAAAATCCTAATGGGCGACAAAAATGCCAAACTGAGGCGGACAATAAAGGGAGAGAACTTATCATGGGTCGAAAAAAACTGAGTGAAATGATGAAAGATAATGGAGAACTGTATGCAGACTTCTGCGCATTCAACGATTTGGTGATTAGAGGCAGTGTGTACAAAAACAAGAATATTCAAAGGCAGCAACATGGATTTCACCAGACACACACACACTAACTACACTGAAAATCAGATCCACTTCATCTCAATGTGAAGATAGTGGAGACACAGCCAGCCTACTGGACACAAGATCAGATCAAGAAGGGGAGCAGATGTGGGTTCACACCACTCACTATCTAATGCAATGAACCTACCTTCCACATCAAGTTGAAAGCCACAATCAAAGAAGCTGGTGATAGACCACAGTTGAAGCTCAACACCCAGAACAGAAACTGAACTGAAGGACGAAACTGCGAAGGACATCTTCACATCAGTCAGTCATCAGGAAGAAATGGGAGATATCGAGCAACATCCGTGAAGGGAACTGCGTGGAAGAACACTGGAACTCTTTGAAAGCGACGTGGAAAGAAACCTGCACAACCGTATTACAAAGGGAGAAGAAGAAAGGAGATGGGGAATGGATGTCGACGGACACATGGAAGTTGAAAAAGGAGGTAGAGGGAGGAATATGGTGAAGCAGAAGATGAAGCAGTGTAGTGGAGGGATGGACAACGGAAAGAGGAACTGAATACAACCTACAAAACACCAAACTGGACAAAGAAGTGAAGAAGAATGCGCGCAACGACAAAAGACACTTCTACGACACACTGGCAAGTGAAGCGGAACAGGTTGCAAGCTGCAGGCTGCAGGTAGGAGACCTGACAACATCATATCAAATAACCAGGTTACTGTCTTGGAGGACAGAGATCAACGCAGACGAAACCAATGAGAGATAGTGAAGGAAACCTAATTAGCAACAAAGAGGAGAAACGAAGTAAAGGATGGACCGACAACTTCAAAAGGCGCTTGAATCGACCAGCATCTGCAACTCCTCCAGAAATACAACCAGCAGACGCAGAAATACCAGTGAACATAATCCCTGCGACAAAAGTAGAAGTCCTGAACGCCATAAAGCTGCTGAAACTGTGGAAAGCAGCATGGTCAGATGGAATTCCTCCAGGAACGCTGAAAACAGACGCAGAGACATCAGCAGTGAACATGCTCACACCACCATTGCACAAGGTTTGGAAGGAAGGAAAGGTACCTGCCGATAGATTGGAAGAAGGGCTATCTTGTCAAACTCTCCAAGAAGAAGGGTGACCTAAGCCTTTGAAGCGACTGGTGCGGAATCATGCTCTACTACTGTCCTCCAAAAGCAAACAAAATATTAAACCTCATCATCCTGGAGAGACTGAAAGGAAAATGCTGTGCATTCACAGTTACGACCTGAACAGGCTAACTGGCTTCAGGAAGTACAAATCATGTGCCAATCAAATTACAACACAACACAACACAACACTACACTACACTATACTACACTACCTTAACTTATGTTACGCATCATCATAGAACAGAGCATAGAATGACATTCAACTCTCTACCTCAACCTCATCGATTTTGAAAAGGCCATCGACAGCGTCGATCCAGAAGTAATTTGTCAGGCAGCTGCTTCAACACTACGGTCTTAGTACCACAAACATTTATCAACCTCATTCAACAGCAGCTATATGCTACATGATGTTACATGCGAAGTGATTGACAATGGGAAGCTCAGCGATGAGTGTGAAGTGAAGAGGGGAATAAGACAAGGCTGACGCCTACTATCACCAATGATCTTCCTGATTGTGGTCGACTCGACTAGATCATGTAACAAACTGTGATGAGCTGTGAGAAGATGGGTATACACTGTTTGACCGACGAGAAGATCCTAGAGGATTTGGATTTCGCCACCGCCAACGATGGTGATGATGATGCTGATACTGATGATTTATGTCTATTGACTTGTGTCGCACAAACTCGAAGATCTAAAGACGAGAACCGATGAGTTGGCAGAAGAGGCGAGGCAGGGCAGTGAAGGGAGACGGGACTTCAAGTGAACGTAGAGAAGCCGGAGGTGATGAAGATACCCAACCAACAACAGCATCAACAACAACAACAACAGCAGGCACCAATCACCATGGACGGGAGAAATCTAAAGAAAGTTGTCTCTTTCACCTACCCATCTCTACCTAGGTAGGATCGTTTCAACTGCAGGTGGCGGCACAGGCACAGATGAGGATGTCAAAACCAGGATCGGAAATACAGTAAAACAGGTTTTCGTGCATTAACCTGAAATTAGTGTGGAGATATACTGCATTGCACTGCACTGCACTCCACTGCACTCAGCATGAGGTGTGAACAAGATCCGGATTTTCAAGAGTAATGTCAGTCAAGTGAGTCAGTGCTTCAATGTGATGGATGAGAGACTTGACACGTTACGAAGAGCATTTCCAACAAACTGAAGACATTGATCAACAGCTGCCGTCTACGCTCACTCGATGCTGAAGACTAGATGGCCAGGAAGAATAAGAATAAGCAAGGAGGAACTGTGACTGGCTGGCAACGAACCAACGGAGAACCCATCGGTCAACAAGTGTTGATGGATTGGATTGGATTGGATTGGGCATACACAGAGAAGAGCGTTTTTGGATATCACGTGGCAGGTCAGGCTGTCGAGTGGAATCCCAAGAGAATAGTGCGAGTTGGTTGTGTGAGGGTGACATGGGGGAGATGGTGTGAGGAAGAAATGAAATCTTGTGTGTATTTGTTGAGGCTGTTTGAAAAGACTGTAGAGAACAGGGTGCAATGGTGACGTGTTACTGAATCCTCATCTTTCGCTAGGAGCCTAATATACAGATGATAATTTTTGTAATAAGATAACCAGGCATTGTTTTAGATTACTCTGTAAAAGCGTGGTTATATTTTTGCTTAAGATTACACTCAAGCATGCAACAGAATAGGAAGGATGAGAAAACTTTAATAGTAATTCACTTAAATGGATGCATGTTTCGTTAATGGATTCTTTTTATTGAATCAGTTCCAAATATATGAACTAGGAATGACAGCGTGCAACCGTGACATATGGAAAATTCTACTATTCATGTCACAAAGAAGGAGGGAGAATTAGAACTACATAGACCATGTTTTCCAATTTTTGACCTAATAATTCGCAAAACTATTGTTCCACTGCGTGATACATCTAGTTAAACAACCAAAATAACTGCTAACAGACTGTAAGAAATCTTTTTCAGTTATCATCTAATTCTGAAGAGACTGATAGGGAAGAAGTTTTTGAACTGTGAAAAGAGTAAACAATGGAATATTACTTAAGACGATAAATGGATAATTTAAAACCCTTTCAATCTACAATACTAATTCAGGATGTTGTTTTCCCTTTCATCCATTTGCTGCGATACTATGACTTTCATTTATGGAGCATAAATGTCATACTGCCTTGTGTATACCAACATGGGAAGAAAAGGAAGACATTAATTGTCACAGACTAAGTTTAGGTGTGTGCAGTAACCCCATTCATAGATGTAGGCTGTTCTGGTCACCTTCTAGGGAAGACGAAAATGGAGAGAAACCATGAAAATTCATTTCATAACTCTTCTATTTACCAGTGTCTCCCATGTTTCTGATACAAGTTTCTAGCGTTCATTAGCTCGTCATCTTGAAAAATCAGCTTGGCGATAGTGTAAAATTAACGGCAAGATGAATCAGGCAACATATGAATGAAAAATTACAACGGATAAAAGTAAAACTAACAATTACACACAATATATTTAACATAAAAACTGAGGGATATAAAGTTTAACGTCAGATATACTAAAACCGAAACAGTTTATCGTGTTAATGTTAACTGAAAAGATTTCTGTCGAACAGAAAGAAATCAGTCCTTGTAACCTTTATTTTTAAAAAGAAATATTTTATTTCTTTGTTTTCCAGTCAATATGCTAAATGCTAAGCTGCATCACATTAAAACATCAGTGAACTCTGACAAACCCAGCTGCGATGTAAATAATCCACGACCGGTTATAGGAGTGGCAATAGTTAAGAAGGTAGAAGTTGAGTGAGTTCCAAAAGTTATACGATTTTTATTTTATTCGTAATTTATTTTGAGAAGAATGGGGATTTTTAATTTAGAGGTAGTATTCATCATAGACTGACATTAGTTGGGGAACCATTGAAAATCTGGGAGCACTGGACAGCTGTTTTGTCCTAGTGTGGGATTCCTCAGCTGTACGCACCCATGACCCTACTAGGGATCGAACTCAGGACCCTCAGGTTCCACGGTGAACACACTAACCATTTAGCCACTGGGTCAGTTTTCTGTGGTTCACAATTTCCTACTTGTAATTAACAAGTATGTCAACCATATGATGAAAAAACTTTATCTATTATCCATATTCATAAGAAATCTACAGTTTCGTTCGATTCCTAAGTGTACTAAAGTGAAATTAGCAGTAAATAAATGACGTCCTTTATTTATGCTTCCCTTTACGGCAGAACATTGAGATGCCTTATCGTTGGTTGCTTGTCAATGAATATAATTCGAGATCACTAATATACACCAATAGGACCAGTCTTTCCATACGTTTCAAGATTTAAAAACAAGCGCTTTGTTAGAATTTCATCATATTTAGTGGCCAAGGTGTATTCAAACATGTGAAAACAGTTATTCATTGTTGCATCTTTGTACTAGCGTCACTTATATTACGTTGCCTTACTGTACTTACAATACTAAATATTGGAGATGGGAACACTCATTATTCATATCAACTGTACAAATTACTAGTTAAAAATTAGTTTGAACTAATTTTAAAAGCAGCGCTGATTTTCTTCTTTGTATGACAAGCAGTTTTAAAGGCTGTTATGACTAGGGATTTACAGCAGTTTAAGAATATCTAGAAACGGAGTAGAAGCGGATAATTTTTGCCCCATTTACAAGCTTTACTATAGTATACATATTCTTAGGTTTGCTTCTGATAAAAATATGCCTAAGGTGTAGAAAGAGACTTTACGGTCGATAACTCAAGGCTCGATTCAGTCATCAGGGAAAGTTGAATCATATTTCTGTATTCATTTTGTGACTCGCAATGGAGTCCACGACGTGCGTTCCATCCTAATTTTTTCCAGTATACTGATAAGTTCAAATTGAATCACACTAGATCGATTGTGATCGATTATTAGACCATTCAATTTCCCTATATGAATATACAGTTTCGTCTGAAAGCTGAAAGTGAATTATTGCATGCATATTGTTTCATGGTCTTCTGACTCGTGATCTGTGTTTTAATTCTTGTTGAATCTTGGTCAGCTAGGGATAACGATGAAACATGTACATTATGCCTACCACTATCGCACTTAACAGTTAAATAACTTTCTACAAAAAACAGTTAGTCAAACTTTATTGAAATGATTTCCACCTGTGGAACTTGCAGGAACAAAATGAAACTGACTGCCATGGTGATAAATTCAGTGGAATCTCATAAGAGGACCTAAATTTGGTCAGCGATCTATTGTTTTTTTATGAAAAAACTAAAGCTTATTTGAGGTGTTAATTTTATTTTTCTTTCTATAAACTTTTTGTTTGTAGTAATATGGACAAAGATCGATTATTGAGTTATGCTTCAATATTCTCCTACTATCTATTCAAAAAATGGAATCTACCGTCTCACTGTCATTCAGAATCCGGTAAAATTATAATACTGTACTCGAAAGACGATGGAGTGGTAAGTCACATTTGTACTACTAGAGTAGTGCATGTTGGCATAATTTACAAGTGTTTTTTTACAACGATAACCAATAAATTGTACTACTATAAGTTATTACCATTTTTAACACACAATCCATTGTTTTGAACAGATTCATATTTATACTGGGTGATGTTTAAAGGTGAAATGAAAAAAACTGAGCTACGAGGTAGAGCATTAGGCTGGAAACCCAGTTGTCGCTGGTTTGAATCCACCAGCGGTTCAAACTTGCTTACACCTTCAACCATCACCCAGTATAAATACTAGTCTACCAAACGATGGCTATCTCAGATAGTCAGATGGAATTCATATTTGACACTCTGAGCTCTAATTACTGAAGGATTAGAATTGAACACAGTTCGGGCTGTTATCACCATTTTTGAAAGCAAAATTAATTAGACTTTTGAATAACTGAAGTCATACCTTCTGTGAATACATAATGAACCAGCTGTATAGGTAAGAAAAAAGCATTCCTCAGCATACGTGGTATCCGTTGGTTTAACACATTGCGTTAAGGTTACATTGACACCACAGTATTACCAAGCTGATAACTGTTAACGAATACAGATAGAGGCTGAAGACTTCCTACATTCATTCAACAACAAAAAAAGATCCAGACTAATAAATGACTTTGTCAGTTTACTGTATATTTTGAAGATAAATGCTATACGGCAACCGTCACAAGTGAATTTCACGCAATTAATCATACCTAAAACAGAGTTAAATGGAGAAATAAGCAATGGTTAAGTAAGTATTTATTGTTTTCTGATAATATACTGCAGTATTGTGAATTATTCAAGTTGGTTAGCATAAATAAGTTAAACAACCACTCACCTTGTCAAAATCACGACTGAAAGAATGATAGGATGCTTAATTAGATTAACCTGTCCTCAGTTATAGATATGATGTCTAGAACTGATGCATTCTATTAACCACTGCTCCACATATCTTGGTTTATTATGTATAGGTAAATTTATAACAACGGATAATGGAAATATCTCTGTACTACTCGGTAACGCTTGATTACATGAGTAAACGGGGTGATTTTGAACATTGGATAGGTGAATCTTGAGTGGGCACTGATAAAAAGCAGAGAGTTTCGCAGAAAAATCTCACTTGCGTCTTCATTTTCTGTAGGGGTTTCTATCACGACTGAAATATATAGGGTTCAATAAGTAGTTTAAGTTACTGGTGTCAAAGTGGATTTCCAGTAGTTTCAATGACAGCCACCGATGAGTACAGTTCGACAACTTGTGTGTGAAGATGAATCTTCATCACTGAAATTCGAAAGTGACCACTCCACATAATGGACAAACCGGAATTGGATCACTGCGTTAAAAAAAATGGAGATCTACTGCAATCAGCACAAAGACCAAGATCCGGATTTTCAACACTAATTTAGTCAAGTCAGTGCTTCCGTATAGTCCAGAAACTTTGCGTGTCACGAAAAGCACTCTTAATAAACTACAGACATTCATCAACAGCTGCCGTCTACGCTCACTGGATACTGAAGATTAGATGGCCAGAAAGAATAAGAATAAGCAAGGAGGAACTCTGACTGGCTGGCCAAGAACCTATCGCGCAACAAATATGCAGAAGAAAGTGGAGATGGATTGGTTTGGGCATACACTGAAAAGACCGACTGTAGACATCTCGTGCCACGCACTTGAGTGGAATCCAAAGGGGAAACGACGAGTTGGGCGTCCGAGGCGAGGGTGACATGGAGGAGATCATGTGAGGAAAAAATGAAAGCTCGAGGGTAGTCATGGCGCCATATTCGAAAAACTGCCGAGAAGAGAGTGCACTGGAGGCGTGCTACTGAAGCCCTATGTTCCACTAGGAACCCAAGGGAAAAAAATAAATAATAATAAGGTGACTGCACCCACAGCCGCTAATGAACACTCAAAGCGATGTAGCTTGCATCATGCCCTCCTGGTTGGGGAACAGATCTTTGGAGGCAGTCCCGGACTAACTACAGAACTTAGTCAATTGTGTACTAACTACAAAGACGGTATGGGCTGAAATGCCTGGGTGCTTCCATCTAACTATGGTGGAAGAAGAGCCGCTACTAGCTGCGTGACTAGTAGGAGATACGGCTGACCTCAATAGGATAACCGAAGCAAGACACTTGGCCCAGTCCCAGCTGAGGAGGTACGGGTAGATAATCGAGACTTTGAGGCCTTTCTGTTATCAGGTGTGCACAACCTAATGTGCACATCATTTTCACGCAAATGTACCTAATTAGAAGACGCTCGTATGACCTATGAGGTTTGGTTGACTTGGAAAACTGCGAAAGACTGAGAAAACTAAAATAAACCATTCACCGGAAGATCTAGTGGCTTTGGATTTGACTTCATGTATGCACTCACGAGGGAATCACAAAATAGGAGGTAACAGCTGTCTAATTCCCCTTAGGTTCGTAATTCCACAACTAGTAACAATTTTGATCCCTTATACACTATTTAAGCAGCTTCTTTGTATACATATTAGACATATCTTCGTTACTGATGCCTCCAGATGTAGGAATGAATTCGCTGAAAAATTACTCTAAGTGTAGGGCTCGTCATCAATCAGCTGTAAGAGATATTTTCCAACTTTTTCATCCAAATAATCAAAGAATCAAATATTCTAATTATGGATACCTTTGTTGAACATCGTATTATACTTTATTCGCTGCCTATAGAAATATGATGCAGGTGTTACGATTAACAACCTACCACCCAAGAGACATTTCAACATTATTTTTCAACTGTACTAATAATCTGAATATTCAGTTTGCACTAATGAGGATATCTGAAACAAATATGGATTTATTCTATCTGGAAGTTTGAAGAGATTCATTAATTGATTTTAGATTGTAATCCATCATAAACTGACAACAGTTGAATGAATACTGAAAACATGGGAGCACTGGACGGCTGTATCGCTCTAATATGGGACTCCTCAGAAGTGTGCACCCACGGCCCCGTCAGGGATCGAACCCAGGACGATCAGGTTTTGTGGCCAGCAAATTACAATTAAGCCACTGGCTGGGAATCCAATGGTCCACATTTCCTACTTCTGTCAGTTCATGATATCGTATTTAAGTGAACAACAATATGAATTCAGAGGCATTAAGCTGAAGAGTCCTAAAAGGCAGGAAAGGCTTTTTTGCGATACGCTGTATGTTTGTCATTATTTGTAAGTGGTTCTTCCATATCAGTTGTATACCGGCCATCCCAAGATAACTGAAATCCGACTCCTTTATGGGCCAAAACTACTCAGATACGTTTTCGGTAAACCTCAGGTAAATAATTTTATGGTTATTAAGCCATTCAAATCAAAATCTGCAGATGAGCATAATCTTTAACATTTCATGTTGTTCAGTAGTAAAATTAGTTGTGTTCCAACTGTAAATATATCGTATTTTGATGGTTAGTCATCGGTAATGCAACATCCGAGTTCCTTTTGGTCAACATTCAACTAGTGAGCACCAAATACAGTAAATTTTACTACTGAATTATCTGATAGATTGACAAAAATAGTCTAAACTCTTATCTATAGATTTTGGTCAGAATTTCGAAATAAGTGTTATCCACCAACTAATTCATGTACCTTCGTTGACAAAAATGAGTAGAAATCAACATCAGTATGGTGCTTATTACGAGCTGGTATTATCAATTAGCTTCGAGTATCATAAAATGTAGTTTTAATGCTTCCTGTAGACAGCCTACAACAGAATACTTCAGCTGACCGTTAGTTTTCCCCGTATGAATGAGTCGGGTTATACTTGATTTGCTCTGCTTGAATTGGACGGCTAATATATGCAGCGTATAAATATGGCATGAATGCAGAATGTAATCACATTGTTGATTACCTCATCTGAAAACTCTCACTTATTGTTTAATATAACAGTGCAATAAGTCCAAACGCGGTACATATTCAAGTCACTGGCCCCGTGCCAAAAATTACTTAAGTAAGATTTCTAAAATGGTAAATAACAAAAACAAAAATTTATTTAACTTGGAATAATAATCGTACAACCGTAAAATCCCTGGCAAACTGACTTTACAGAACAAAATAATTTATGCATATTGCAGTACAAATGTATACATTAAATAATTTAGATTCACAATGTGAGGATTCTTAACTCCAGTGGACACTGACTGTTGAACCAATTAGAAATATGTGAAATGTTTTCTCTTTATAAAATATTCAAATTCAGTTTAATTGCATTTGATGGCTAGGTTTAGGACATAATCTAGTGATTTTTGATACTTGGTGAAATTACCATCTTTATCTGAACAAAATGACTATTGAACTTATAGGATAACAGAACAGGTTTTCAGACGGTCATTACACAGTAGTACTATATGAGGAAGCCTAGGGGTTGTTCACTTTATTGATAATGAACAGCCTTAACTTCCTTCAGGATTAACAGTTGACTGAAGCCAGTAACATTAAACAAAGCATACTGGCGTAGTGACCTCAGATTCGAATACTTCTCGGTTCAAAAGCAATAAAAAACTTTTAACTGACACAAAGCTGCCACTCGGGTCCCCTTATTTTCATTTTACCTTTAAAACGAGTGTTAATCTTAGCTGAATTAGGCATCTTCAAATCAATCAAGTCAACAAACATACTTCTGAAAAACTCAGTCTTGATAAAACAGGAACCCCTGGGTGTTGACCTAGTGGTTCAAAGACAACGTGCTAGCTGGAAAACCTGAAATTTCTAAATTCGATCCCGGTCAGGTTCCCCACTGCTTAAGAGCCCAGAACGAAACATCTGCCCAATGCTTTTAGATCTTCAATGGTTCTCCAAAGGATGTCAGCCCATGACAAGTACCACTCTGAAATCGATACTGTGTGTTGTTCATCTCCTTCACATAGAATATAAGGTCAGTTGTAGTTATTGTAAAAATGAAAACAGTCTGATTAAAACTATGAGATTACAAGCCGACAAATACCATTATTATTCTAAGTTTTTTTTTAAAAATC